CGGCATCCCTTTGCTCTTTTCCCTCCCTCCTTCGTGTCCCTCCTGCAGACAAGGCAACTGCCGCTGCCAACACAGCCACTCCCAGCAAGCCAACACACACGCGCTTTCCCCGAGCTATGCGCCGGCCACGCTGCCCCGCGCCGCTTCTCCCGCTGGCGGCGCTCCTGCTGCTGCTGGCGATGCACTGCGCCGGCGGGTGCCTCGCCGCCGCCCCCGCCCTCAACCACCGCTGCAACTTCGACGAGGCGATGCGGAAGAGCGGCCCGCTGCCGACGGCGGTGGTGCGTGAGGTGCCGCGCAGGGGAGAGGGCGCGGCGCAGGCGTACACCGCCGCTGCCGCCACCGCAGGAGGAGGAAAGAGCAACGAGGGGTGGGCGCCGATCCGCATCGTGGTGTCCACGGAGGACCTGAAGAACTCAAGCAAGTACTGCACTGCAGTGCAGAGTATAAACCCAGCTTTATGGGGCAAGCGGGGAAATGCCACATCTCTTTTATCATGACCCCCGAAAAAGTGAAGCTGCTCACCGAGGAGATCCTCCCGGCGGCTGTCAAACTGCACACGGACCGTCTGCGCGTTCTTCCCTTGACGGCGCCGCTGCTCGTGCCACGGTTCGCTGAAGGCAGTAGTGTCTGCAAGCACTACACGGTTCCTGAAGACCATCACACACGGGGCGTGGATGCGGACATGGTGCTCTACGTGGCCGCCGGTCCGGGGTTTATGTTTGGCGTTCCATGCGCCACGGTGGGCGCGGAACGTCCTGTCGTTGGCGCGCTGAGGTTTGTGCCTGCTGACTACGGCGGTCTGCGCGTCAACGTCCGCGCTGTGGCGCACGTGATCGCTCACGCTCTTGGGTTCGGCTACGAACAAATGCGTGCTCTTGGCATGGTTGCCGGGGACCCTCTTACGGCGGTCAGACATCAGGCCAAGACCAGCGTGGCGTCCGCGACAGTACTGAAGGAGGCAAGGGCGCATTACAACTGCAAAACGCTTGAGAATGTGGAACTGGAGGTGGATAACTACACAGGGGTCGTGGAGCCGCACTGGCCGCAGCGCCTCGCAAAGGGAGAGCTGATGAGTGACTCCCTGGGTTTTGGTGTCGGCCGCTACACTGCGCTGACGCTTGCTGCGTTCGAGGACATGAAATTTTACCGGGCCGACTTCAGCATGGCGGAGCCAATGGCGTGGGGCAGTAACTCTGGCTGCGGTCTCTTTTCTGGGTCGTGCCTGGAGAACGGCGTGAGCCTCTACCCCGGCATGTTCTGCGACAAGATCGGCTTCCGCTGTACGGCGGACCGCGCTTCCTACGGTATGTGCTCCACAGAGCGCGATTCCGAGACGCAAGCACTCAAATTGGAGGGCGATTGTCCCACCGTTGATCCGACCTTTTTGCCGAATTCGTCCGGCATTCCTTTTGCCACCGTCTGTTCCGAGGACATGAGCGCCTACTTTCCCCATATGCTTCACGGCGATGACTCGTGGTGCCTGGATGGCCAGAACCTCAAGGTGACAAATCCGAAGGCGCCCAGTGGACAGGCTGTTGGAGGCGTCTGTGCGCGGGTGAAGTGTGAGGCGGGCAGGGTGCAGGTGCGTTACCGCGGCAACGAGGAATGGCACGAGTGTCCCGAGGGGAGCTCTATCACGCCCCAATCGGAGCACTTCAGGAGCGGCAACATAATGTGCCCCAGTTACGAGGAGGTGTGCACCGTCGCCGCCAACGGCAGCAGTCTTTTGGTGCCGGGGCGCGGGCGTCGTCGTGACGGCGCTGGCGGCAGTGCAGCTGCCCGCACTGCCGGGTCGCTTCTGCTGCTTGTCCTGACCACCGTCGCCGTGGTGGTGCCGCTTTGAGCGGTCCCGAGGCGTGAGGGAGAGCAACGCCGCTACGGCGGTGCCTCGCAGGCGCCTCGCGCCCGGATGCGTGAGCAATGGTATTGCACCCGCACCACGCGACACCCACTTCTCTCCCGGTAACTGCAACGGAAAAACAATAATACTTCTCACTTTGCTGTGTGGTGCTGCTAATGCGGAGCAGCCAACCACGTATTAAAGTCATGAAAAGGGTTTGCTTCTTTGGAAAGCGTTTGTTGAAAAGTGATTGGAAGAAAATGCAAACGCCCGCGTTGCATGTATACATGCGACTTTTCTGCTGTCATCAAGCGGGTGAAATCGTTTTTTCTCCCTTGAAAGCACGAGCGGGCTGGAGACGGTTTCGCTGATGGCAAGGGCAGGGGCCTTGGCTTTCGCATTCGCTACAAATGGGGTTTCAATTGTTTTTTTTTGTTTCTTGCTTTTCATTTGCTTTCCTTCTGGGGGTATGAGGGCATGACGAGGGGATGCGTCCCCTGTGTCAGTGTGCTGCAGCCCTGTACCCGCTAAAAAGGTGAAATATGCATTTGTGTGTGTGTGTGTGTGTGTGCCTGGGAGAGACTACTGCATGGAGGTGGTGGTGCGGCGACCGTCGTCGTGGTTGGCGGACTCTCCCACCGCCTTTTCCCCTCCTGCTGCCCTGCCGGCTGCATCCCTTTGCTCTTTTCCCTCCCTCCTTCGTGCCCCTCCTGCAGACAAGGCAACTGCCGCTGCCAGCACAGCCACCCCCCAACAAGCCAACACACACGCGCTTTCCCCGAGCCATGCGCCGGACACACTGCCCCGCGCCGCTTCTCCCGCTGGCGGCGCTCCTGCTGCTGCTGGCGATGCACTGCGCCGGCGGGTGCCTCGTCGCCGCCCCCGCCATTGCAGGAGGGGGCGAGGGCAACGGGAGGGCGCCGGTCCGCAGCGTGGCGTCTACATGAGGACCTGACTGACTCGAGGAAGCACTGCACTGCGGGTACAGAGTTTAAACTGTGAGGGCACGGATGCGCCCTGTTTTCCGGAGGCAATGTTGACAGCCAGCCGTAAGAGCGTCCTGCTGAATGAAGTCCTGCATCTGGCCGTCAAGCTGCACGCGGAGCGTCTGCGCGTTCATTCCACCAAAGCTCGTTGGGTGTACCCCAATTCACGCATGACGGGAAGTGCCAGTATTTCACGGTGCCTGAATGTCACCACACGGGGCGTGGATGCGGACATGGTGCTCTACGTGGCCGCCGGTCCTGGATTACCAACTTGGGCTGTCCCGTGTGCCGTAGACGGGCATGCTCGTCCCGTGGCCGGCGCAGTGCAGGCGTGCGTGTCCGACGTTGACGCTTTGCTCTCTGGCGTTTGCCGGGTTGCGGACGTGATGGCGCATGCGCTTGGGCTTGACGTGGGGGAGGTGGCGAGCCACAACATGCTGTTGGGCGTCCCCGATGTGCGGGGGCAGCGCCTACCCCGCAATTGTCGTGTATTCCTCCGCCGTGTTAAAGGCAATGAGGAAGCACTGCAAGCGTGGGAGACTAAAGGGCATGGAGCTGCAGATGTGGGATGATGCGACGGCCAAGTCGCACTGGTCCGTGCGCAACGCGAAGGACGAGCCGATGAGTCCGTACGACAAATACTGCGGCGGCTTCTACACCGCGCTGACGATGGCGGCGTTTGAGGGCCTCGGCTACCACAAGGCAGTGTGGGGGATGGAGGAGACGATGGCGTGGGGCAGAGGCGCGGGCTGTGACTTCCTGGACAACATGTTCTGCGTCGCCGACCTCCACACGTTTTGCGATACTGCCGATCACCAATCGCTTCGCCGGACTTCGGGTCGTCAGGCTGTTGGGGAATACGCCGGCCGCGTCGGCGACACCGCGGCAAGAACGCCAGAGAACTGCCCCGTTGTGGATGCCAATAGAGGTGGCGGCGGCAACAGGTACGGCTACCTAACGTGCGCTGTGACGCGGCCGGGCGTCTTCCCTGGCTCTCTTCCTGGCGGCGGCTCGTGGTGCCTCGATGCGGAGCCGCGCCGGGCTGAGGCTGAGGGTGGCGGTGCCGCCGGGGTGTCCGACGCCCACGCGGTGTGTGCGCGGGTGAAGCGCGAGGAGGGCAAAGTGTTGGTGCGGTACCTCGGCGGGAGCGACCTTGAGTCGTGCCCCGCGGGGACGTCTATCTCGCCGAAATCGTCACACTTCAAGGACGGCGGCAGGATCAAGTGCCCGAAGTACGAAGAGGTGTGCACGATCGCCGCCAACGGCAGTGGCCTTCTTACTCAGGTTACTTCCGGCGACTGTCCCGGCGGAGTCGGCGAGGATGCAGCTCCTCCTTGCATTGCCGCCCTCGCTTTGTTTGCTTTGGCTCTACTTTCTGCTGTGGCGGTGCCTCTTTGAGCAGCAGCAGGGATGGGCTCAGGGCTTCCCCGGCAGAGAGCGCCGCCAAATTGTGCCCCGCGTGGTCTGCACGTCCAGCCAGTCCCATGCAATGCGTGCACAAACGGCAATATATACCCCTTGATTTTTTGCTTGGCGCATGTATGTGTCCGGGAAGAGTATACACACGGTTGCTTCTCTATGTGCCCGCTCCTGTCAATGATGCGGTTGATCCCTTCTCTTCCGAGCGGGCCCGGACTCAAGCTGATCCCGCTTTCATTGAGGTATATGTTTTCCTTCGCTTTTTTCCTCTTCTTGGGAGCGCAGTGCTCGAGATTGTGTTGTCGTTACTCGTTCCTTCTCTTTGGGTGCCCCTTGGCACTTGGATTTCAGGGGCGTCGGTTGAGTTGCTTCTCTCTTTTCTATGGGACTTTACCTCTGGCGTTGGTGCAGCACGATACATTC